CCCCAAAAGACTGTAGTGTTATGAAAAACGTTAGGAAAACGCAAAATTTGGTTTCGATTTCGAATCCTAAATATCTTAGTCATGGGGTTCCTGACTGACCTAAAGGTTTATAATTATCGCGATCATTGCAGCATGACCTAAATCCAGGATTTTGTTTCAGAATCTGTGACAAAGTTACCGGATCCCTTTAAAGGGAACTCCACCCTGATATTAAGTGGGTTTTGATAGAAGCAGAAACATGAGAGAAACAGGTCTGTGAAAGTTTGAGCAAAAAACGATTGAAAATAAGAAAGTCGAGTATTTTTGTAGGTGCGATCAATCAAACACTAATTGGGAACTCTGTGACTCATCCTATGCGGTCCCAACCCGCCACTATGTGCCCCCCCCCCCCCCCCCCTTGTACTAAAAAAACTTAAAAACTGTATACCGGTAGAGGCGGTAGTATATAAGAACATTTTCAGTCATATACAATTATTGCAAATATGTTTCTATACAACCCCTGTATAAAGCAACTCTATTCCGTGAACAATAACTAAGAAATTGAAAGTTTATGAAATTTTCTGTACAGAGCGAATTGGAGAAGGATACGTACGTCACATGCAGTGTTGCCATTGTGTGTTTCGCTGATCATAACTTTCTTATTTCTTTATTGGATATATTGTTCAAACTTATGCTAATTTTTCTGTTTTTTTAAACAAAATTACTATTAGAGTGGACTTCCCCTTTAAATACAGGCAAAAAGAAGATGTGTTTACATTTTGACGTTAACTGACGCGGGTCCGTCTCTCGAAACCGCCATAGGTGTAACATCCAATAAAATTGTTTAATAAAATGAACACGCGTTTCATCAGTGTTTCGAAAAAATGGCCCTTAGTCGCCTCTGTTTTATTTAGCTGTGTATTACGTCATCAAATGTTTTTCCTCACGGGAAACAATCTCATTAATATCCACAAGTAAATCTTGATGGTTTCATAATTCATACTAGACAGAGAAGGCCCGACTGTTTGATATGTGATTACCGAAATTTCGAGTTCAATGTGCCTCCCTATAAGCAGCATTTCTGTGATTGCAAGAAAACTCAATCACGCGTAGTAACAATGGAAGAATGAATGTGAGCAAAAACTGAATTCTATAATTTCAGACAAAATGCTATTTCATTTTGGGGTTCAATTCCCTCTGTTTTTTGTTGTTGCTTGCCCAGCTTTGTCAAAGCTCTGGTATGGTCAGGCACGTAGTCAGAGTTTGATGTTTGGGGGGGGGGGCACATACATGTAATCGATCGAGGTAAAAAAAAAAAAGGGGTCTAAAAAAAGTTCAACCGATCTTGGAAATTTTAGGGGGCACGTGCCCCCCCCCCCCCGTGGCTACGTGCCTGGGTATGGGAATCGTATTTTGAGAGGAAATTGCTATGATTTATTCTGGATTGTTTATCCTGCAGTAGACTAGTTGTTTGAACCAATGAATTAAAAACATACGCACAACAACTTACTGGGCATCATATTCGATAGAAACCCACAACTCCCATTTGCACATGTAGTGAGTAACCTGTCCAGCCTACATACCCGCCGGATTTCCTTATTTTTCTATGCTCATTACTCAGCCACTATATATTTTCTATCAAAATTGTTTAGCAAATGTCATTTTTATTTGAAATCTTGAACATTCAGTGTAACTTTCGTAGGGTTCTGTGAGAATTTATTTTCCATATTTACCAGTACTCACGGGGAGAGGTAGGGGGCAATGTGCTGCATAATGGAGCTTATCCCAAACGAGGTACATTAACTCCGAGGGTTTTTAGGTTGCGCAGGAGAGGGATGAGTTCTGTTTTAGCATGTACAGTAAAAAAAAAAAAAAAATTGTGAATGTTCTTTTTCTATATACTTAATGTAGAACTATGTAACTTTATGCTATATGAATACTTTCTAATTTGTGTTTCCATACGTAGCAATAAGCTATTTTCTCGTATTTAAACTGATTTATTTTTCAGATTCAATATATCATGTTATGCTATGTTATATATTACATTATGTGTTATTAATTTTGTTTGTATAAACTTTTGTAATTCGTCTAAACGCCGAGATGAAAGTTTGATTTGAAATAAACCATTTTGAATTGAATATACATGTAATAATTGAAATGACCCCTGAAAAGAATTCTCTTTCAATGCCCCCTCAGTATTTGAAATGTGACTAGATATAATTCAACAATTTTGACCAACTTGCTGTCCACATGTGTGTGTATAGTCGCATTTAGTCGCATATACCCAATTATGTGTGCACAACATTTCACTGTACGAGAATTTCAGGAAGATCGAGTCGCCGGATTTTATAAACCCCAGATCTCGTGTGTGTGTGTGTGTGTGTGTGTGCTCTCACCTCAGCATTCTTGTGGGGTTTTATGTGCGCTTCACATACCCCTTGTGAGGCATTTTTACTTTGTGGGGTATTTTTTCAGGACCCCACAGAGTAAAGTCTTTCAAATGACTGTATATTCGGTGTCCTATGCCCTGCGGGGCATTAGAAGTGGTACCCCATAAATGACTTTTTGTGAGCGTGTGCTAAAACTTGCACACTTTTTTATGGTAACATCGTAAGCACACCGCCGGGTTGTTATCGCCAGGTTGTACATACCCCACTAGTAGGGGACCACACGGTATATCTGGAACGCACAGAAATACCCCACAATCAGGTGCCCCACAAAGGCCCTGATGTGAGAATGTGCGTGTGTGTGTGTGTGTGCGTGCGAGCGTGCGTGCGTGTGTGTGTGCGAGCGCGCGTGTGTGTGTATTGTGATTTTACAGACGTGTGTCAATCAGATATGATTATTTACGTCTAGGGACCGACTTTAAACGTCACCATCCGAAAGACATGACTCAGTTTCGAACCTGCGTCCTAGGCTGAATCAGTTTGTAACTTCATGGAGTTACTAGCCTTGTAACTCCATGGTAACTTCCAGTGTTAGCTGGATTATAGGCGCACGCCACAAGGCCTAGTTAGAATATACACAATTACACTACATAATCAACCTTTCCCAATAACTTCTAGATAGTTTCTTTGAACTTGAACTTGAACTTGAACTTGAACTTGAACTTGAACTTGAACTGTCCAATTTAATCTCATGACCAGAGCACCATTTTATCATTACAGCAGGATTATTTAGTTGCGTAGGAACACATGGGCCTGATTTAAATATAAAGTAGACATATAAAATCCGTATAAAATAGGTTAGACTATTAAGCCAGTGCATGCGGAAGAGATAATCGGTTCGTTCATTTTCACCTGATTATAATTATACTTGTTTGTATGTTAATACGTATTCTCATCTAGACCATGTCTAGACAATGCCAGACGAATGGGTCATGAGAGTTCAATATTTCAGTTGAGTACTGGTCTTTTGTGAGAGTTCATTGCGAAAGAAGCAGTTTGGAGCAAAATTTGGGAGAGTATGGCGATCGAATTTAAAGTTTATATTTATTACAATTATTGATGGATACTGCAAAATTTGAAAATGATCATAGTGAAAAGAAATTGATAAAATTCCATGTACTGCACACGAAAATGGGTAAAGCGAATTTCATTCAACTAGCGATAAAATCTTCTATTCAGAACAGTCTGTTAAAGGTACTATGTCCCTTTTGCAGCCAACCTCATATTCTGTAGAACTTTGCAGGAATTATGAATATGTCATGTATGTCCTATCTGTGAAATTTAAACGTTAGCAGTGTCCTAATATTCAAATTATGCAAGGAAACCTGTTTACCTGCTAGACTTCACTGGCAGACACTATTGAGTGACTGAATGGCTTTTTTCTTCTTTCGTAATAACATACATAAAATGAGCTGGAAAGGGTATATAAGCATTTGTCTACATCAATAAAGCACTTCTTGTGATGGCCAAAATTAAACTGATTGAATCTTTGCGCAGCATAAAACGTATGACCATACGGTACAATGGTCTGAAAAACAAGACTATTACTTATTGGCTCTATAGCTCCTAAGTCGATTTGACAACTAATAGTCGTTATTTTCCCACTTGAAGACATTTTCAAGCCCCACCTTTTTATAGGGAAGTTCTAAATTAGTATTATCTTTTAAATGCCGTTGGATTTGAACCTTTTCATTTTTTTGGCCTGCGAATGGGACATTGTACCTTTAAAGAATAGGACAAAGAACTCAATTTTTAGGAATGCAGGCTTCCATTCTTTGACACATACCTTGGATTGAACCTTGCGTATAAGGTTCTTTTTGTTCCTTTTTGTTCCTTAATGTGCCTTTATTTGGGGCTGTGTTATCGCCATTTTTTAACCATGGATTTCTCTCTCTCTCTCTCTCTCTCTCTCTTGGAGTAATCATCAAAAGTGGGTTAGTAAAGGGCTCGTATTCAGTGGATGTTTTCTTTCCTGATGAGTTATCAATCGTCTTCCTTAAACGAGGCTGACAGCGATCCATGTGCATGCATGTTGCTGTGATATATACATGGAATACTCACCGACTGGATATTTAGTGGATCGTGAATGTGAGATTCGACTAACAAAGTATGTAGAGCTCATTCTCATTTCACGATGAGGGAACATGGGATTGATGCATGTTTTATACATATAGCGAGAGGAATTGTTCCAGTTTAAATGCTGTGATCAATAATTCATCGAAGTATGTCAACCATTACTTTTGATCGAGGACCTAATGAGACGGATTACTTATTAATGGGTTGAATGAACGTTGATAAGACTGAATAATGCATAATTTGGTTAACATGTCACGAAATGGTTGAGGCATTATCATATATCTCCGAACACGAATTAAGTGCACGTCGAGCCCTACACGTCTACAATTTCAAAGACCGTACCATTTAGCTAAGCGCGGAGATTTCGCACAGTAGGGAACGTTATTTTTGCTTTCTTGTAGAACTTGATGGAGACTTCGATTTGGACTTTTGAAGGAAAAGGCTGGCACTTTATTTCTATTATTCTACATGTCATGATTAGCGTGATGAGCGGTAGCCATGGAAGTGTCCACCTTCGCTGGAACAATACCATCTAAAACAGAAGATACTGGTTTATCTGTGACACGCATCGTGTTAGTGTGCTTTCTGTACCTTCCTCTGGCGGCCATCACTGTCATGGGAAACATCTTTGTTCTTGCCGCGTACAGACGGGATGAGAGGATAAGAAAAAAGAAGACAAACACGTTCATTCTCAACCTTGCCATCGCAGATCTACTCGTTGGCCTGGTCATGCTTATCAACACGCCCAAGTACATCAAGGATAAGTGGTACTTTGGGCGGGAATTCTGCATCTTCACCTGGGCCATTGACTACATGTCAACCGACATGTCTGTCATCACCATCATCGCCATCAGCGTGGACCGCTATCTCATGGTTAGGAATACGATGAAACATCAGCTAATTCATCAGTCTAGACGACGACTCGCTCTGATATTCAGCGTTGTCTGGTCCCTCTGCAGTCTTGTACACATCAGTCTCGCATTCATCTATTCCGCAAAGACAGACTACAAGTACCTCAAGTATCAAACATGCAATTTGGAATACAGACGAGAAAAGGCGCTGGTTATTTCAATGTGCTTGGTGGAGTTTGTTTTGCCTGTGATATGTCTTTGTCTGTTGAACACAAAAGTGTTCCTGCACATACAGAGGCGAGGAAGTAAGATACGTTTTAGTCAACCTCGGAAATTTGTTGCTTCGGATGTTCACCTCGGAAAGGACAAGGCAAGTGGTCTTTACGATACCGCCGAAGTCTGCTTGACGTCATACAGGGTGCTTTCAAGCCCCGATGGTAAGACGGTCGAGCGACCTGGAGACATTGCTGAAAGTTCCTCCAGGTCTCCCCCACCGACCATCATTGTAGGCGACCTCCAGAAGAAGAACACATTGAAGAAAGATACCTGCGAAATGCGCATTCATCATGGCAGCTCTTCGTCGAGGGCGCGTCCTCCTCATAAGGCAGCTAAACTTCTCACGGCCTTACTCATCGTGTTCATCATAAGCTGGCTGCCGTACTACATCTACGAGTGCTACATCCTCATCGATGGTGGCGAAGCGAGCGACGCGGTGACGCAGACATTGACTTGCATACTCTGGGGAAACTCTGCTGTCAATCCTATATTGTATGCATGCGCTAATGTTCATTATAGGAACAATTTCAAGCACTTTTTACACCTAGGAAAAGGGATGCGCGTTAGTTATGGAAGGACCTTGAAAGTTTAACCGTTTTTATCTTCTTTTTGTTTGTTTTCCCTAACTATTTGACAGACACACGATACAACCGTAGAAGATTACAAAATAACTCAATTTCTATTGTGTACGAACTACAGTTTTGTGCTTCGCGATTTACAAGGAATTATGATTTGGTTTTCTGGGTGGACAGTAAATTTCAAGACACTATGTTTTGCAAAACCAATGCCCAGTTTCATAAAAAATATAGTATCAATCACATGGTACAATTATTGCTAGGAGCTACTGAAATCATTGTTATTTGATTGGCTGTTAGCGAAAATGTCAAAGAATGATGTTATTTAAGAACCTTTATGAAGCTGGGCCCTGTTTCATAAAACTTGATATCAATAACAAGTTACAAGCTACTGTTATAAGCTACTGAAATCATGGCATCTGATTGGCTGAGAGTAAATTTGTCATAGAAATTTAGCAGTTGTCATAGATAGCAAGTTTATGAAACGGGCCCCAGGGCTTCTTTCTTTCGTTCATAACAAAGTTAGATTGTGCGTTTATAACTGCATCATAGAATGACTCTTTTCAGTCAATTTAGAATGGATGGCTTTGACCAAGGTCGGAAGTTATTATGTGATAATTGTTTATTTGCATATTTTCATTTCAAAGGAATGAACATGAAATACGTTTAAAACAGTTTCTTGTTATAATGACTGTTTATATGCAGATAAGCCTTTGATTATTTTATCTTTCTACTGCAATAGGGAAAGTTGAAGATGAAGATTGAATATGTCCCAAACTTAAAGGTAAGTTTTGGGAAATTTTGAAAATTGGATGGATAGTAATTCTTTAAATGTTGATATATTTGGATATAATATAAGCACTAGAAAATTTAGCCCCTAAAACACTTCCGCTTTCGAGTAATTGAATAATTTTGCCGGTACTCCCGGTAAATTTCAAATATTTCAAATAGCGCCTAAGGCCATTCAATGGTAGCTGCGACCATGGCAATTTAAAGCTAAAGTAATATCAGTCTTGAGAGGGAGTTATACAACATAACGAGTTTATTATATATGGCGATTTCAACCGAGACAACGATCATTGACTATTGTTAAAATCGCATATGCTTCCAACATGTTCATTTGAACCAAATTCATGTCCCCATTCCAAAACTTCGTATTACCTTTAACAGGGTTTGTCAGAATAAAAGTAAATATACATTGACATCCAACATTCCACTAAATTGACTATGTAGTGTTGGAATGCATGAGTATTAGGTAAAATGTTTTCTTTTAGATACAGGAGTACTAGTGTGTTTGAAGCCTTAGTGTATTTAGTCTCAAGAAGAACCCTTACATGTTGGGGACTCACTCTACAACCATAAAGCCAGAGAATAAAAGAGATTTTAATTCAGAGCCGGGATTCAGAGCCGTCAGACCCTAAAATAAGGCACTGATAGCGTGAACACTGGCCCCTCTCCATTTACCAAAAAAGGGAGAGAGTGGGGCTGGTGCCTTTTTGTGCCCCTCCCCCTTCTGTAACCCAAATGCCTTACCTCTAGTACACAGGTCCAAAATCGTATCCGTTTAAAAGGTGTTAACACCCCCCCCCCCCCACACACACACACACACACGCACACACACAATTATTCTTTCTTTTCCTTATCTTTGCTTCTCAGGAAATTCTTTAAATTTAATGCCCCCCTCTTTTACAAAATTATAGATCCACCTTTGTATCAAAGACTGACTAAGAACCCTCAAACCATTCCAATTACCATGGAAAGACTTAATGGAAAGGCTATGCCAGGCCTCTTGTTGAATATGCTGCTTCAGTGTGGCATCTGGGCTTAACAAACCAACAAAATGCCTAGATCGAAAGGATCCATAAACGTGCACTAAAAATTGTACTGGGATAATACATGACCTACGAAAATGCGCTACAAATGACCAATCTCCAAACTCTAGACAAGGCGAAAACTTTGCAAAGGATTTGCTAAATCACTAATAAATTCACCTCACGCCAGAATAGATATTCTCAATCTCTGAGAAGGGCTGCTCCTTATCCTGCAATCAGATGCAGAACTGATAGATACAAAAGAAGCCCAATTCCATTCTTGGTCGATCTATTGAATGTTATGTAATTATATGAGCATCAGACATAGTACACTCTTCGGTTTTCACTTCTTAATATATTTGAATTTTTTACCAGTTTGTAAAATGATAATTTACTTTTTTATGAACTCTATCCAGTTAATTGACAAATCATTGCTGTATCAATCGTAACTGCTAAACTTATTCTCCTCTTTCATTCTCTCCTCTGTCTGTCTCTCTCTCTCTCTCTCTATCGCCTATGCGCTCTCTTTCCTTTTCTCTTTCTTAAATTCCCCCTTTTCTCCTATTTTATCCGTCACTCTCTATTTGTCTCTATTGTAACGGTTTGAAATAGATGGCTGTATTTACAAACCGATCAGCACATGATCCGTATAATAACCCATGAATGAAAAATATATTTATATTTTGCTATTGTAAATCTTAACTCATTTTCTGTCATTTTTCCCCCTTTTTTTTTCGTTTTCGAATACATCAATAGGGACTTTTAGAATTGTCGAACGACAACGTGGATTGCTACGATCGACGTACTTGTAATGCACTGCCTTGAATGGACGTCACACGTATCAGTCCACGCAAATCTAAAAGTCCCTAATGACTCATCTCTGACCTCGTTTCATAACTTTGCATTATGTTTGTGTACACAATTCATTCTAACCTTCAATTGAGATACGGTTGAGTGGGACCTACATTGTGCAGTCTATCAAAAATGCTCAAAACTCTTGATACACCTAGCTGCATCGAAAACCACCTCGGTCTCTCTCTTTCTTTTTCGTTTTCTCAATTTCCCCCTTCTCTCCTGTTCATCACTCTCTGTTTGTCTCTATTGTAACGGTTTGAAATAGCTGGTCGTGTTTACAAACCGAACAGCACATGATCCGTTTAAACAACCCATGAATTTTAAAAAATATAGCTATATTTTGCTATCGTAAATCTTAACTCATTTTCTGTCAAATTGAAGTAAATTTTCAATGTATCACTGTATTTTACCTATCTTTTTAATCTGTTAAAATCACGCAATTATTCACTTTTACAATCTATTTGAACTATTCTAATAGCCGGTCAGGTTACAAACAAACACGACCCGTTAAAATCAACGAATATCGGAGAGGAAATATTATTGCATGTACATATTTGAATATATATATATTTTATATTTTTGCTATAAACTTGATACCATGTAATGTTTGATTTCACATGTATTAATTGTATTATAATGTTTTTATCAAATTGAAAAAAGGCAAACAATTTAGCCTTCGAGCCGCGAGATGATTTTCAATAAAACAAACCATTTATTTATTTATCGAAAGACAGGCAGCCGGAAATCTCGATTACATCAATGACTCATATCTGACCTTGCTTCATAACTTTAGTTTGTGTACACAATTAATATTAATTCCAACCTTCAATTGAGAAACGGTTGAGTGGGACCTACATGTGTACATTGTGCAGTCTATCAAAAATGCTCAAAATTTAGTAGATCTAGCAGCATCGAAAACCGAACAAACAATAAACTGTTTTAAAAATGTATTCAAAAATGTAGATATACATTTACGTCTAGCAGCGAACTATTGGTAATGGTAATGGTTTTATTAAAAATTCATTTGCAGCCAGATGGCTGAATTGCAGAACTTGATGATACAAACATAAAACGTATTAAGACATATCACGCAGTGAATGAATTTTCTAAATAAATCAGTGTACACATATATATACAAATTCATAAAATTCGCCTAACAGCTAACAGTTGCTTAATTCTATTTCACAATCATCATATGGCTGGAGGGAAATATAGAAGAGAGGTAGGGAGGATAATAGTGCAGACAGCACATGAGATCCAGGACAAGTGTGAGATAGAGAAAGACAGAGGGAGGGAAAGGGAGAGAGAAAGAGAGACAAAGCGAGATATATATATATATATATATATATATATATCTATATATATATATATAAAAGATAATGCTGAGGATGAGAGTGTATATCACACATATCGAAAATAAGGTAAAAAGTACAATTTCGACTGAGAGAATACTGGTTGTAAAAATTAATAAATTACATTTTACATTTTCATTGGTGAGTTATGGCTAACATATATCGTAAATTGATAGGTAGGTATGCAATCAGATGAAGACATGAAATATGGTAATTTCGAGATTTTTCTTGTAATAAATATGTGGTAAGTATGTTTCAATCATTACAAAAGTTAACCATGGTAATCTTGATTTACTTTATTATATTATCATTTTCATTTATCAATTATCAAGGTTGTACAATCGTCTTGGTAACAAAAATTTATATACTATTTCACATAAAATAAAAGAATACCTCATCACTATGGGGATAAGTATACATGTTATACAGATGTGTACAAAGTGCATGATCACTACTGTGAATTAAGCAAGTCAATTAGGTAGGGAACTGGACTGTTACGAAATCGTTTGGTTTTACATTTTAACTGTTCTCTGATATTTGATTTGCGTAGGCTTATAATGTTCTTACAAGGAGGTATGAGGTAAGATACCTTCTCGTTTGATATCAATTTCTTCAGATGTAAAAGTTGTTGCTAGGTCGGACCGTCGGACAAATATGGTCAATGCTGTGTGTATTTGCATTGTTTTTATTTGAAACTTTACTATTGCAGATTTATTTATCGTCATCGTCTTTTCTCTGTCTGCTCCTCTGTTATGCCCCACCCCCCCCCCCCCTTGTTGTCCCGAATCACTCGGCTTTTCTCTTTTCAATTTCCCCTTCATCTTACCCTCCTTCTTGCTGTGTCTTTCTGTCTGTCATTCTCTCTCTCTCTCTCTCTCTCTCTCCCTCTCTCTCTCTCTTTACCTCTCTCTCTCTCTCTTTTTCTTTCTCTCTCTCTCTGTCTCTCTCTCTCTCTCTCTCTCTTTATTTTTTTGGAATAAGGGTGGCTTTTTGTTTAGCGTGTATCGCTCAAAGCTGGCGCTCCAATATTAGGGACCTTTAGATTTGCACGTCGACAAAGTGGACTGCTACGTCTGACGTCCTTTTTAGACACTGGCAGTGCCTTAAAAGGACGTCACATTGCCTGAAAAGAACGTCACACGTAGCAGTCCACTATGTCGACGTGCAAATCTAAAAGTTCCTACTGTTACCCTCAGAGCCGCTGATTAGTAGAGTTTGGCCAGCCCGGTTCAAGTGGGGCGCGATATGAATACTTAATATCAATACGAATAATGGACAAAACATAAGAACATAAGTCAAGTTGTGACCAATTGAAACCAGGTCGGCCAAATAATGTAATTACCCAGATCATAGGTCTTTTGAAATTCATGTTTTATTTATTGTTGTAAAATGTATATAAATTGCCCTACCAATTGCTAACTAAAAAGGCTACTCTTTATAAAAGTTGTCGTGGTCTAGTGGATACCAGACTGTGGACCACATGGTTCGCGGTTCGAGTCCCTCCGCGGCAACGTCCTTTGGCAAGACATTGTCCACTCCCCATCCAGAAGAAATAGATTGGTTCCTGGTAGAAAGACATTCCTTGAATGCTTAACGAGAAGGTTGAGTTTTGGAAAGAGGTGAATCATAATTTGTGAGCATTATCATCGTTATTATGCAAGTGTGGAAGAACATCAAATAAAACATGTTCCCTGAAAAGTATGGTTCTTCAAATGCCTTAATATTCTTCATATGGCATGTAAGATCATAAAAATAAATCAGGACGGATTTTTATGCCACATGTTCGTGTAGTCCCATACACATAATATTTCTGTGTGCAGTGCTAGTAGCTTTACCAAGACTAGGCCGATTTTCTTATCATTTTGATGATTCCAGAACCTTGCAGTACAAACCAATACTTAAATTAGATGATCAACCTTTTCTGATCGATTTCACACCGTTTCTTTCACAATCCAATCGCATGACCAGAACTCAACTTTATAATGGCGGCTCAGCTAAGGTCGGGGTAATAATATTATACTTATTAGCTGCTGGACTATAATTATGAACAGTTAATTAAATAGACCAATAAGTGACGTTATATCGTCGTTGGGCATTCGAATTCATTTGGAGCATTGAATTTTGCATTGTGTGCATTCAATATCATCTTTTTGCCATAGATTTCATGAGTGACATTTCTATTTTAAAAAATACAATCCGAAATTAAATGTTTTAGAAGCAAATTTGATTGGATGTCACGCTAATGCGTTGATGAAGAAAGATTCTAGAATTTATTGGTAAAGGTTGATTAAGTACGTTAGAATAATTGTGTTTGTGCGATTGGTTTTTAAATCATAACAATTATATAAAATTTACTATTTTTTTTAATAAATCACATAAAATACTAGTGAAACGATGCACATTATAATGGATATGTGCATATTATGTGGTAACGGAATTTGGTCAGATCTCTTTACTGATTGTATTTACAATATGAAGGTAAAAAAAATGACAATGGCCAATCAAGATCATCATTACATGCAAATATTGTTCAAAAGGGTGACCATTAACCAATCAGAAAAGTCTTTTTAAATTTGCACTCGATCGCGTACCTTTGTGTTAAAGGACTCGCAATAACAATGAGGAAGAATCCGTCTTGAAGAAACGGTGAAAAGTTTATTAAAGGAAAACTCGACCCAGAGAATAAGTGCAGGCATTCTGAAAATTAAAT